CCCACCAAATGGATTGTATGCCCATTATAGGGAATATCTATTATCTGCTATTTCGTACGCTTAAAATTAATGAAATAACCAAAATCTTGAAATCGATACGTTAGATTAAACCAAATTTTACATAGTAAACGATACCTTTCTGCCTAGTATCTCGAAAGAAAAGGTAAATATGTATGAAATTGTGACGGCCCTTAAACCACATATAATATAATATCACAAAATCCATTCTTAGTTTATGACTACTCTAATGAACCTAATTATTGCCAGATTTATGCATCTAGTAGACAACTCTAAGGAATTTCAAACAGACTCACGAGTACGTATTAACTCTCTCAGTATGACTCTATCGCGAAACGGAACGGATCCTTCAGAACGTGTTCGACAAGGAACGATTCCAGGGGACCGGATCCTTTAAAAGACCGGTCCAGCCCAGCTCTACATAACTTATCGATGATGCGTGTATCGTGTATCCGAGTAAGCAATGCCGTGCTGGTTTTGCGAGTGCCGCGGCAGGCAAAGTTGCTAGATGGTCGATACTTTCGATAGGCTAGATCGCAATGTTGTCAATCCTATGAAAACTACGGACTAATTGCATGAGCCTATTTGACTCACATGATTCATTTAATCCCTTTGTTACGCATATTCATAGCCTGCCTTTCTCTAAGAGAGACTAACTTGTGCCGCATATAATTGATGAGGGCGTTGCGTAGGAAGTGCAGAGTCCACCTACCTGAGGCGTGTTTTTCCTATATTAAATAGCAATATACAAATATAAAATGTAAGTATAAAAATAATCGAAGAGCGCAGCTATAGCTTAGACACTTCTTCTCTTCCTTCTTTGGCTTTTCCTCCTGTTTCTATTAGCGTTCTGCTTAGCTTCGTTTGCAGCTTGTTCAGCCTTCTTTTCAGCTTCCTTGGTCTTGGCGAGATCGGCCTTGGCTTCTTGCAACTGTTTAGAGAGCTGGTCCATATGGCTACGCTCTGCGTCCAAGAGGGTCTCTTTCTCTTGCAATTGCTGATTGTCACCTTCCAGTGCTACTTGAGCATTTTGTGCATTGCCTTCAGCCACCTGCAGAGCTGTTTGGATCAGCTTCAGCTCAGCTGCAGCTTGCTGGGCTGCTTTGCTGGCTGATTGAGCTGCTTGCTGCATCTGCTGTAGACTGCTTTGTTCTTGGTTTACCTAAGTAATTTCATCAGACTTGATGAAAAAGTAATTTCAGCAACAAGTAATGTGTACAGAGCAGAACCCAGTGTGCAACTTCTTATATAGCCTCGCACGAAGCACTAACAGTGGCAAAGATCAGTAGAGTAGTTTTCGCTGGGTACCAATTGTCATGAAAATAGGTGGTAATTAAGAGGGTGATGGGCTTGCTAAGAAAGGAGCCCCACATAACAATGGCAAAGACCAGTATAGTAATAATAATGTCTCATGGATATAGTCAATCAAAAGGTGAATGAGTGTGATAACGAGAACTTATCTCAGGAGTACCAAGTCGCATGGGAATAACTGTTAATCAAGAGGCTTTAGAGCGTGCCAAAGAAAAAGGCATCATATTCTTTATACGGAGTGCGGCAGGACTAACTAAGACTTATAAAAAGGCATATCTATCTGTAGACAAAATGTTTTTATTTTATGAGTGAGCATTTAACATCCATAAAGTTTTGAAAACAACCTTTTTAAGCTGGCGGCCATTAGCACACACTGCAGGAGACGACTCCAGAAGCTTTGAACAGCTCGCTTACAGATATCGTTTAATTATCCCTAGAGGAAGAAAAGACATGGGCATAAATCTGGTGACCGTGCAGACCACTCCACACCACCTTTCAACAAGACGAGACGTAATGGTAACACTTTCAACACATTCATTGACTGCTGGGCTGTGTGAGCTGAGGCTCCATTCCCTAACTCCTCTTCCTCAATGGGCTCTAGATAGAGATGTTATCTTTATAACTCTATGAATTGCTTAGTTGGTTCTGCCGACCAAACCACTGACATTAGTAAAATCAGCAGAATAATTCGGTCATAGGTGCTAAGTTTCATGGGAATAGCTGGTAATCTAGAAGCTGATGAGTATGCACGATGGATGTCAAGTGATCGCCAAAAGAGGTAGGATGCTGTAATGAGAAAGGCTCAATCCAAGAGGATCTTAAGGACAGCTCCACAATAAGGCAATTATAAATAGTTCCTAGTGATTCAAAGTAAATAAAAAACTCGCAGTGGAAGATCGATGATTTACTGGATGAAATTGAAGATCAATATACCTACCACAACCTCAGTTTCCTTCATCTCGTTCTGCACCTGCTGCACCAGCTCTTCTTTGCCCTCCAGCGCAGCATCTGCAGCCTTGGCTGCCTCTACAGCCTTCTCTGCCAGCTGTTCCTTCACTTGGTGCGCAGCTTGCTGACCCGCAGGCTGTTGGGCATCCTCTGCCGCCTTGGCCTCTTGCATAGCCTTTACTGCTATGTTGGAGGCCGATTTTGAGCCTCCACCACTAGAGCTAGCGCCGTTCTTGCATTCACCTTTCCCTTCTCCGCCACAATGCACCAAAGTAACGATGGCACACAAGGACAGAAGGGCTCCAAATTGAAATCGCATAGCACTTCGAATGAGGTCAATATTGCTGTGACATTTCTGTCAAGTTCGGAAGGATTGAGAGAGACAACAGATCACATAATGTGCTAGAGAGTGTCCCAAAATTAACGTAACATTTGGATTGGATACACCTAGAGTGTTATTTTTTTTTTTATTAAATTATAAAAGTTAGGGTTATGTACATCAGGCCAATGGCCTCATAGACATTGCTGGTTCATATGCAATCTTTAATCGAAAGTTCTCATTATCATTTTTCGTGAGTATGGCTAAATTTCGTTGTTGAATAAACATAGATAGCAGGGTACCGCGACTGCAACAACGAGCTTAAAGACAGCTAGTCGATTTCTGAACTGCCTTAGGTTTTACAACTGGGAAAAGCCTCTCAGGCAGATTTTTTCACAATTTCGACACCCTAAGAGCGGTCGTGTCGTGTCCTTTAGAAAAGTGTCATCGATCAGTCGGACAGCGCCCCACTAAACAGCATTTTAGTCGGGGCGGCAGCAGCCCAAACATGTGAGCGATACTCGAGGCTGGGTGTTATCTTATCCGCGCACACAGTAAGAAGGTTTTGTGGAGAGAAGTAATTCTTGGCCCTTTTCACCTGCAGCTGATAAGATTGAAAAATATATTCGCGCCAAAATGAGCACTCGATGATCTGGAGTCCGACTAGCCGTTAATCAACATTCAGTACTGTTTTTGGAAGCATTAAAGTCGTTACTAATATTCTTTTCTCAAGCTCATCAGAAGAGGCCATCTTGAAATAATCAATGCCAACGGGTAGAGTGCTGTTATCAGCAAAGCTGTGAATCAGATTCATCGTAAAGGAGAGGAGGTCGTAGATATGTAATAGAAACAATGCTAGGTCCCTGGGGGACACCCAGTGACAATGTGTCAGCAAAACTGAGGAATCCATTGGCATTGAAAAAAAATTGGTTTGCTATTGACTTCAGTACTAGCAATGAATTTTGGGCTACGATTTAAAAACACTGCACTACCAAATAAATTGTATCTTACTTTACCCGTTACCTATAGCGAATGTGCTAGATGCTTAAATTTCAGTATTTCGTGAACCGAGACACTCTGCTCACTTTTGTTCGTCAGAGCGGCCCTCAGGGGTATTATGTAAAAAAACTAAAAAACGTAAAACAACCGACAAAATGTCATCTTACAGACTACGTAGTTTTTAGTGTGCAAATAGTTCAGTCCAGGTCTGCTCGCTATACGAGTTCACAACAAGTAAACAACAGCTTGTGCTAAGAGTTGGCATCTTGTAGAAAAACCCACGTTATGTCACAAAAAATACGCGAAATGTCAAAAAACCAACAAATGTCAGTTTTCAAGATACGTTATACCCGTGCGGAAAGTGTGATTATGTCGATTTAATTTATTTTACGATGTCAATAGAAAAGACAAATCAGCGCCTAGATGACATTGCAAAAATGTTTGATGTGTGATGCGTCATTACTAATTTTTCTGTGATGTGGCGTATGCACACAACGCGGACTCGGTGGCGATTTCTCGTAGTGCTCCTCAAAGTTTTTGAAAAACGGGAAAAATCCTAATTTATAACTTTGAACAGAAACGACAACATATAAATAACCCGTCGGGCACAGCTAATAGATATACATACTTCATTGGAGCATATTCAGTAGTAATTTGCTCACACAGCAAATATCACTGATTTTATACATATGCAGATCGATACACATAATCATCCAGATGCGATCTTGCTATTCAACCAACTTTCTTCTCAGAGATGAAAGCTACAGACTACTCGGCTTCACAAAAAGATACAACCAACAGTGCGTGTAATTGAGTCATTCCTCCATTGATGGACGCTTGCAGCGGTCATAGCGAGCAAACGTGGAATGAACTATTTACACCCTAAAAACTGTCTGCAAGATGACGTGTTATTAGTTTTTTTGTTGTTTTATAAGTTTTTTTTTACATAATACCGGTGGATCTTTGTTTAGTTAAAAGTCTCGTCGGTTAGTCTGTCAGGGTCTAGCTATCCAGATGCCAGACAAGTTTAAGGGGAAAGGGAAAGAAGGACAGAAAAGAAGGAATAGATCAAAGAAACGAAGCAAATCAGTTGAAGTGGAAAAAGCTTAAGCATTATTAATTTGACTACTCGGTAATTGTGTTATTCTGAATTAGTAATATGGTAAGACTACACTTTAGCGCATAAAGACCGAAATTCTTGGTTTTTTCGGCTATAATCGAAGAAATCAGTGAATCTAAAAAAAACTTTGTTTTTACAAGAAAGTAGTATTCATAGGTCTTGTAAATAAATTATTTTAGGTGGTCAGAAATGCATATCACAGTGCGAGGTGCGATCTGGACTATCTGCGAGCTTGCTCGACTGTGTAGTCTACTAAGTTTTACGTAATCCCTTAGATACGGGATGTCAAGATATCTGCGAATCGTCTCATTTGTCAAACCTGTCGATTTTTGTAAAATGTCAATATGAATATGCTCTCCTACACAGTGATCCTGTTGTTCGTTCCATACGCTATATGCGCGACAGAGTGCTCCAGGGTAGGAGTCGGGAGCGCAGGAGGAGGTGGTGTTGCTGGCAAAATGCAAGCATCCAATGTGGCCATGAAAGCAGCCCAAGAAGCCAAAGCGGCTGAAGACGCGCAACAACAAGCGGGCCAGCAAGCTGCTCACCAGGTGAAGGAGCAATTGGCAGAGAAGGCCATGGAGGCAGCCAAAGCAGCAGAGGCGGCACTTCAGGGTAAGGAGGCACTTGTTGAGCAGCTGAAGGATGAGATGAAAGAAGCTGAAGTTGTGGTAAGTCTATTGCGTAACTCTATTTGAAGGCTTTATTTCTCACCACAAAGAATATTAAGAAACTAAGGTCTTGATATGAAGATGATTTCCACTTTTTTAATCTCAGTTCTTAAAAATCTATATAGTGTAGTATAAGTTATGTAAGCAGCCAGTTAGATTATGCTGCCTTGATTTAGTACTCATAGTGTGTTCAGAATTTTTTTTGAAATATCTACATTTTAAAGGTACGGGTGTATTTCCTGAGCTAGGATTTGATTACTCTGCTGATGAATGAAGCAAAATTTGTATCTCTGAACACAAGGCGTATTTTTCTAATAACAGCCTTTTTGTATAAACTGGTTCATTGGAATGTAATATGTGAATTTTTGTTAGGTAAAATTCCGTGTCCCAGCGTAAGAATATAAATTTATTGTGAATATGCTAGAACCACTATTTTGACGAAATCAACTGCTTCAATCATAATATGTAACAATTTCAACTTAATAGGTAACATCTGTGACATTAATTTCTATCCTCTCTCGCTCATTAACAAATCAAATATGTAACTTTTCTTACTATTTCTTTATAAACTTTTTTTTGTTATTCAATTCTTCATTTTCATATAACACTAGTTGTTTTTTTTCATATGTGAAAAAATGCTTAGTTTGTTTTTAACCATAGGGTGCGTTTGTGCGTATTGGAAATAAATGGGGTGTCTGGTGGCAGAATTCCAATTTCAAAATCAAATGTTTTCGTAACCGTTAGGGGAGCGGGGAAGGGGACGCGCTAGCTTCGTCATACGTACGGGTTTTTAGTCACGATGTCGCATTGGACGGGAGAACAACGCCCGTTCGTAATCGAAGCATATTTGAAGGTGAATGAATCGTGTGCATCTGGTGGTCGACAATTTTGTTCACGGTTCAATATTCGACGAAACATGATGGTTGGAGCAGTGAAGAACCGATACGTTCGTAGGTGCGGAGATTCCGAGTAGCAGGATCAGCAACAAACAACCCCCATCTTAGTTCTTAAAGAAAATATCGTTCGCGTGGTTAATGCTATCCCACCAGGATACACATTCACTGAAGATAGGATATTGCGCATGTGGGCGGAGCTTCGTGACGTCACCCGGAGAGTTATCGGCTCCTGGTTACCAGCGGCAGGATTGTTGTAACGTTACTGCAGTTCACGTGAATCGTGGTTAATACTATATAGTGCGATTTGTTGTTTTTTGGCGGTTTTGTGACTTGTTGTATTAGTTATACATACCGTGTGTTGTTGATAAATTGATAAAAATGCGATGTGCTGTTGTGGGATGTAATTCCGACAATTAATCTAAACGGAATCTTTGCAAAGACATTAAGTTCCACAGTTATCCTCAAGACCCAAACTTTAGCAAAAAAATTGCTACATCTCACAAAAAGATAAGATAAAGTCAATGTAAAAAGCGCTAGGGTTTGCTATAAAATGCTCTAGAGGATCTGAAACGTGACAAAAAAACAAAATTTTATAGTTGAACTTTATCAGGTCAAGGATGTTCTTCCGGATCAAAGAACTGATTAAAAGTTTGAAAGACCAGAAAAATCGTAAAAGGAAATGGACAAAAATTGTTGCCTAGACTAAGTCATTTTCATTTATTGTTATACCACCACCTTACTGTAAAAAGAAGATAACTCCATTTTTCTACTTTTCGAGTTGCGTACATTTTCACACTTACATGCACTTAGGATGTTCTGTGGAATAAGGATAAATGTAGTACAGTATTATGACATGAACATGTTAATTCTGCTCCACAGAACATACTAAAATATAGCCCAGATAGCATTAAATATTTATTAAATAATTAAAAAAAAATGTTTGTTAAATATTTGTTGGGACAGATTTTTTATTAGTTAATAAATATATTTCTTATATATTTATAAAATATTAGTAATAGATGTTTGTAGTATATATAATTCATATATTTTGGCGATATTTTTCCCAAATATTTAGAAGGAAAGATTTTTAAATATCAATTTTATATTTTGATGAAATATCTAATATTTTTCGTAAATATGTATGGATTTTCAAGCATTAACCTGATACATATTTTCAGTGTATACATATAGAAAATTCTTCATTGTTTATTTTAGCAAAACCTGTAGGAATGCTTATATAAAATTGGATTTATAAAGAAAATTCATTCTAGATATAATGGTTCAATTTTCTAAAAAAAAAATATTATTAAAAAAACATTCTAAGCCTCTTCTGCATCTTGCAACTCCACTCCTCGGAAAAAAAACTCACTAATTATAAAGTATCATTGAATACATAAGCTGCTTTCCAGTGTATTTATTGGTGCTGAGCATGGTGAGTTACTCCGAGTAGCTCAGCTGGGTCAGTGAAAAGCAGCTCTATAATGCACATAAAAGGACCCCACTAGTTCGAGATTTGGTTAATTTTTAAGAAAATTTAGTATGTGATTTTAGATATCTTGATGAAAAATGTCCATGGGCACTTATTGATTTTGTTAAAATGTGACTTTTTTTAGTAAATAACTTAGCCATAACTATTTAGTGATTTTATATTATAATTCAAGGGACAAAAGTATAGTATTTTCGACTGTTAAAATTTTTGAACGTACTACGACAAAAATAATAATAATAATTGAGATACATAAAAAAGCATTTTTGAGGTATCTCGATCAAGATTATATGTCTTTTCATTGGGATGTTATGAACATAATTTTCGTATCCATTCTCAGATAAATCCGCCAATACCAAGTAACTGTTACACTTCAAGGCTAGTTATTTATGGTCTGAATACCTATATTCTCAGCTGGCACAATAATGTTTACTAGTCAGATAAGTTAAGCTATGTAATTATGGAAAAACTTACCCTTTTCCCTTTTCCACAAAAAAAAACACTCAAATAATGAAACACTTGGAGGTACACAGGAAGCACGCTATCATAGTGAAAGTCAAAGATATTGAATAAATATTTAAGAAACATATTAAATTACAAATATTTATTAAATATTTGTTTAAGAAAACAAATATTTAAGTAAGATAAAAATATTATTAAATAATAAATAAATGTTTATTGAATATTTCGTGCTATCGATGTTTGCCTTTTGTATTTTTTTTAATTTAGATTTTAAATCCGAATTCTGCCACCGGACACCCATATCTATCTGTCAACCTATCTATCCAATCCTCAGGGGATTTGGTTAGTGGAACTTACGGACCTCATCTTGACGATTTCTTGCCTTTCACCACAGGGCATACTTAATTAAAATAAAATACGTTCATTCTTTTATAATTTGTAAGAACAATATCATAATTTCTTTTACTGTTAATACGCTCTAGCTTGAAAACAAAGCCGTTGCGGGCCCATATTCATATAGAAATTGACTAAGGATTCGATGGTTATAGTTTGTCTACATACTTCATTAACATCCTGTATATTTCACGTCAAGCCGCGTCACGCTCGAAAACAGGAAAAAATGGAAAATCTGCTCGGATTTCCTCGAATCTCCTTGAAACTCCTTGGACGCCTTTGGAAATCACAGGATCTCCGAAGTTATCCTTGGATTTATTTAAGTTTCTTTGCATTCAGACAAGATAAAATCTTGAGCTATAATAGCGATAGAAACGTGCCACCTTCGCATCTTCAGATACAAAGACCTCCTTTGATTACTTCAAATCTCATTGGATTTTCTCGGATTTGCAGGATCCAATATGGCGGCCACCGCAGAATCGCAATTTATAATTTCCTTAGCCACTCCTATGATATGAACATCGAATTAAAATTCCAGTATGACCTAATGCTTAACAGTAGTAGTAGACATTTATTTACTCCATTATACTCGTATAAGAACAATAACAACATAGAATTGGTAAATACCTGAAGATTTCAATCCATAGAAGCACAATGCCTATACATGGATCAGTCGTATGTTGGAATGTGTTCCAAAATCAAAACAAAAAAGTTAAAAGCAATTTAAAGAGAAACTTATATCAAAGAGGTGTTATTTGTAGATTATGATGATTTTTAAGGAATATTTGATAGGAATTCGATAATGTGTTGTCTTATGACAATACACGATTATTGTGGCATAAAGGTTATCTGATGATGGAGGTTATCGGATGATGGGAAGGTAGCCATGGGAATTCTGTAATAAGCGACGCAAACCCATCGAGTTTGATACTTCTTGACGAGCACTCTGGTTCTACGGTCTTATTATTAAGTTAGTGCACTATTATGTCAAATAAATACTCATGTCTAATAACCACATCGAACTTCAGCTTTTTCTCATTAGATAGCTCGCTAAAATATAGGTAGATATGCTTTATTTTTCCAATGACTTGAAAAAATAAATATATCTTATAACAAAAAAGGAGGTTTATGAAGTCCTATCAATAAAATATATGTAAATCAGATAGACATTACTAAACTGTACTAAGTGACCTACAAATCCGAACACCCAGTTTAAATGGTTTTATTTTAATAAAATTTTGTATAAGTACTTAATGAAGCATAATAAGTAAATGATAAAAATTTCAAAATGATTGCACTGCTTTAAAGCCCTTTGACCTTTAATAATGTGTGGATGCACCCTGATGTGCTGATCTGCCAGGGTGTCAAGAAAGGGTAAAAGATGGGGTTCTAGAACCCCGTGGATATAACGCTACGCGTTCATGTTACCTCTGATGAAGATTAAAGGTGACCTGGAACCATAAGCTATAGCACCCCAAACCATAACTCCAACAGTGTGATGAACATGTCTTTCAACAAAAAACTGTGGATTCCTCCTTTCACCACGTCGCCTTCTAACCCTGGCACGACCATCGTGACTCGTCACTAAAGACAATACTGTTCCATTCCTGATCCCAGAGTGACCGTTGTCTGCACCAGTCAAGGAGATTACGTCGGTGTTCTCGAGTTAAAGGGAGGACCCAGTGTGGCCGGTATGAAAACGAGCCAAAACTTCTCATTCGTCGGTAAACACTTCGCATGCCAATAGGTCTTCCGTGTTCTGCAAACCATTCATTTGCAATGGACCTGGTAGTGGAGAAACGGTCCCTTAAGGCCAATAATCTTAGGCGGCGATCTTCACGGTCTGTTGTTCTACGGCGGCGTCCAGTGCCCCCTGCTCTTTGCGTACGGCCTGACAACACCTAACCACAGTGTCTACACTTCTTTGCACTCTAACTGCAATTGCCCGAAAAGAAAGTCCAGCTTCCCGAAGTCCCACTATACTCCGGGTCTACAGGTCTCCGTACTCTAGGCATCGTAATCGATCGTAAAGGATGTCAAGAACCAAAATCCGCCAACGTTGATTCTTTACTGCGGCTGAAATATTGATTTTTAGAGCGTTAGTGAATTAAAAAAAAGCAGTATAAAAACCGGAATGTCCAACTGATAAGGCTAAAAATTTTTTCACTTGTTATTTACAGTAAGATAAATACATTCACCAACTTTTATTAAAATAAAACCATTTAAACTGGGTGTTAGGATTTATATGTCACTTAGTATAGTTATTTGACATCATAAAAAGTAAAAAGTGAGAAAGTAGGATTACGGTGAGGATTGATTCTCATTCCTTTCCAAGTATGTATCTGTATTATTTTTCTCACCTCAAATCGGATTTGTGTTGGAGAAGTCTATTTTATTACATTGAAACACTGGAATTAGTTCATTCCAAATACATTATGTTGTACCTTTCGTTTAGCCCTAGAACACTCACAGATTAAATTTTCGGACACATGTTTATTATCAAAATTTATAGCCTGAACGACTGAGCATATCGTATGTTTTCATATTTATAATTAACCCCTGGCGATATTTTGAATATCTAAAATCATCTACCTGCCTCCCCCTCCCCACTACTCATGAAGGGTTAATTTTTTCCAAGAAGGATATGAAATGGTTTTATTTAATAACAATAATTGTGGAAAAATGTTAACCATTGAATTGTAAATTTTCAGCAATTAAAATTCAGAAATATACATTTATAATTTTTTTACTTTAAGGTGTTCCTCAAAAAGTTATATCGAAGTTTGGAGACATTCACTGGCCTCCTAGGTCATCCGACCTCACGCCATGCGATTATTTTTTGTGGGGTTATCCAAAGTCAAAAGTGTATTCCAATAATCCTCGAACACTGGAGTTTGTTTTTTTTTCTTAAATCAAACAGTGAACTTTCCTACTGTACAACAGTTATTTGCTGCAATCCATATTTATGCAACTGGAAATTTTCAGGTTTGAACTTCTGAGAAAGTATTTGTGTATATTTGCCTATACAAATTCCTTCTTTGTTTGTAGATTGTCAATGGCGATTAACAGAAGATGTCACAAGCAACTGTTTCCAAAATTATTGTGAGGGTCACTGAAGCGATTGCTAGGCACCTATCCAATCTCGTTAGATTTCCGCCATGCTCAAATGATAATGCTTAAAAAATTCTTTTAAATGGGTAATTTTCCATCAGTCTCAAGTGAAAAGGGAACGTCTATCAGGTTGTATGTATGTATGTTTGAATTAATCAGTAGAAATGGTTGCATTTTAGATTATTTAGATGGCCTATATTTTCGCCGTGTGTTCATAACTACAAATTTTGGTGATAATGGGTTATACTTTATTATAATAAATGTTTTGATTATATCTGTGAAGCTTAAAACTGTATTGCTTGTTCCGCATTCATGCATAAAATGAAATAAGAAGCATGAAATTCAGTACAGTAGGGATAACTATTGATAATTACGTTAGTCAATGCTTTAACTCATTGATTAACGTATTCAACCTGCTATAACTCAACATATACTAATCTATGTTATAAAATATATTTCACAGTAAGTTACTCTAGCTTCAGTACTCCACATAAAAACAAGCTTGGTTTCCAAGATGGGTCTTAAGGCACAACGACAATTTGTAACAAGCATATTTATTCTAAAATATAAATTTTGTAACAAAAGTAATAAAATAAACAAATGGAACAAAAATAAACACTCCTATACCATTTTTTGGCAGTAGACAAAAGATAATCATTAGAACAAATAAAGTAAGTAAACTTTGGAATTCACAGTATACTCGTACGAATAGCTTTTTGGTACGAGCATCTGCTCTCCTTGTCCTGCAAGTTGGTTGAACTTCCTTTGGGTCACTGCTTGGGAGTTGTACAACGATAATGTCTTTGTAGTCTTCAATTAGACTGCATAATAGGAATTTTTCAGCCTCTGGATAATATTTTCGTTCTCCACTCATTTTGATCTGTGTAACTTCAAGTACAAATGCCAAGACCACAACGATCAAATAGCTAAATAGAAATTTAATTTAAATTTGTCAGATCATGGTGTTTCCAATTTCGAGTACATTAGGAAACACTTAAATGGTCTCTGATTTGCGGTATCCTAGAGTGTACTTATGAGTGACGATTAAGAATATGACTCTTAAACAAATTCGAATATCTTCTGTGCCGCCTCTCTTCTTCAAACAACATGTTTCTGGGTCTTGCGTCTGTGATCTAAACACAACCCAGCCTTAGATTTTATAATTTATAGTGTACCCAAAGTGCGGCTTGCTATACAACTAACACCATAGTGAGGAAAAGAAGGAACGTCATCCTGAAGACAGGTCAAACTGCCACATAGCACCCGAAGCTCTAACACATCTGCTCTTATCCGTAGGTCAACGAAGAGCAGCAGAGTCTGCAACAATTGCAACAAACTGTGCAGGCGGCAGGCAAAGCTGCTCAACAAGCTCAGGCTAACGTGAAGCTGCTGCAGACCAGTTTGCAGCTGGCGCAGGGAGATGCGCAAAATGCTCAGCAGGCTATGGAAGGTGATAACCAACAGGTGCAAGAGAAGGAAGGTCTGTTGGACGCGGCCAAACAGAGGTAAAGTGAATTGAACACACTTAAAATGACAACAAGAGAAAATTACGAAATACTCTTTGAAGCTTTTAACTCATCATTTACCTCTAAAAAATTAAATAATAAAACGCTACAAAGCAGTGGCATGTGTATATAAGGAGGGTGGTTGGCATTTGCGCCTCCCGCCCCTCCAATGGTACATAATACTAATCACGTTGTGGGCGAATTGGAGAACTTTTAGGTGAAATATGGCTTTTTCGTGAGTCGTGACGGACGTAAGTATAGATTCCGTAAGGGGGGGAGGGGGCAAAAATATGAAATCGACTGATCTGTAGGTTATTTAGCAATCCCAAAATTTGCAGTAGGTAATTGCATGTTTCAAGTTTGTGAAATGAGGTGCTTGAGGTAAAAACAGTCGACTTCAACATTTTAAGAGTGATAAAGTATTCGCTGGGACTGCCCAAAAAAGGAGTCATTTTAATCTTCCTTTCTCACTTTGCGATTAAATACCGATCTGTGATAAATTTAGTGTATGATTTTTTCAAAATCGCAGATGGTAGCCTCAAACATTTAAAATCTGTTTCTAAAACTTTAATTTTGTATCTTACTGAGATGTATACATAAATGTTTATTTTGTGATTAGTCTAAAATATATGGAAAGACACGTTTCTTTGCTTCTTAAAAACAGGAAAATTAATTCACTGATTTTTCAAGTGAGATACATGTTTCCTTTTCATCAACATTTTTCTAATATTTTCGTATTTACGTCGCTTCAAAGATACTGAAAATACACGAAAGCATTTTCTCCCTGCAAGAATAAAATTTTATGTACTATGTTAAAAAGCACGCTTATGCAATTTTCAATCTCATTAAACGGTAAACAACATGTTTGTATTATTTTTTAAAACTCACCGATTTGAGGTTTAAAAAGATCCAAAAAAGATATATTGTTACACTGTACGGATTGAGAAACAATAAAACTATGTGAATTTCCTCGTAAAAGCACAAAAAACTATTTGCAAGTTTTAATCGGCAAAATAACATTCCTTTCAATATTTTTTTTTGTGGCGCCACCAAGAATTTGTTGTGAAGTTGTGAAAAATGAATCCGATCCTGCATTTAGAATACAGCTCAAAGCAAAAGTTGTTTTACGTTCTAAAGGGACCAAATCGGCAAGAATACTGACTTGAAATGACCAAAGGGTTAATTTTTGCCATGAGAGAGTTTAATAACAGAGAAAAAGTGGGCGGGGCTCTCTTACGTTTACACCGTCGTCCATCAGTCTCTAAAGACGGATTTAACATTGTGATAAAACATTTAATGATATATGAAGAACCTAGACACGTATTATTTTAGGATACATTTAAAAACTTAGCTGTTAAATATCAACAGCTATCTGAACTTGGGAACATTCCCAAGAGAAGAGAACTTTCAGTCATTCTACTCCCTCGTTTTATAGAGCTGCTGCAGTACTAATTTGTTTATGAAATTATTTAACTACTGTTTTATTCAACAATTTGTCTTCAGAATGGAGCAACTATCTTCCGAGTTGAAAGAATCAAAATCAGACCTGGCGAAGACCAAAGATGCTGCGAAGAAAGCCGAACAAGCTGCCAGTGAAGCAAAACAGAACGCAAACAGAAACAGACGAAGAGCTGGGAAGCAAAAGAAGAGGAAGTAGTACAGAATATAGTTATTTTCATAATTTATTTATAATTTTCTTGCAATCTCATAATTATTAAAGTTTATGCTCTACCACAAAAAAAGGAGATATAATCACTTGTAATAAAAAATTGTGTCAAGCGGGTTGAATTTGCATATCGCATGCAGAAAAAAAGAAATTTTTCGCGATTACAATACTTCCTCACCAGTTGGCATAGAAAGTAAAAATTAATGGATCAAGTCAGTTAAACTGCCATTCTTTGCGGCTTATCAAAAAGTGCTGCCAATAGTTGCTTGAAGCATATTCTGCTGCAACTGGGTTAAACACGCCCATTCTTTTGACGACGCTGAGATTCAGCTGATCAGTGTCAGTAAACATAGACAGTGACTTAAGCCAAACCATTAGTGGCAACTCCAACCAGCAGTATCAAAAAAAGCATGCATCTGGAACATCATGATATCTTCCCTGCGATTCGGGGCCCCCGATCAGTGCAGTTTGGACTCAAATTGTGAGAAAGTATAGACGTTTCATTGCATTTAACATGTTAATATTAAACAATGAGCATATCATTATCTCACGTTAACATAGAAGCGACGAATTTAAAGTGCCTCCACATTCGGCCGTTCTGCACTAGTCTAAACCGACATACAGCATCGTGTCCATAACAGTGCCCCACGTTGGATCATGCTGAAGATCATAACCTTTTTTCACATACACCTTTTGCATGTATTTGGATCGACGCACAAGCAGTAATTAATGAAAAGTTGACACCTCCAGTGGCGTTTGAGTCCCCCCTTGTAAAGGTACAAAATGCTGATCACGTTCTGGGCGAATTTGCCAATATGTTTAGGTGAACCATTGTATTACTTAGTTGCGTCGGACGTAACTATAGATTTAATGCGAGGTACGTTCTAAAATATTTTGTGACTGGGAAAAGATCACCGTGGTGGTTTAAACTTAAGTAAACCCTTAGCTACATCTGCTTTTTTATTTATTGGCCAACAGAAGGGATTTGAGAGGCAAACTTAGGCAAAGTTCAGGTGTTATCATATTACAAAATCAAGGCGAACCGATCTATGATTGTATTCACGTCTATTTTAATATCCCTATGCATATACAAAAAAACTAAACTCACTAATATCCTCTTTAGATGGGAGAAACTTCTTTCAGATGTCGCAACACTTACCGGCAATGAAATCAATAATTGTAGGTATCTATTAATTGAAGGAAAAATGTCATCACATGATAAATAGCGTTAATACCAACCAGATCAACAAAACTCCGCTTGTTCACTTCTCAGCCAAATTTTGTTGCGGACTCCGGGATGGTACAGAATTTAGACACTAGACTAGACCATAAAAGACTAGACTATACCTGTTCCAACAAGAAGAAGCGCAGACCGTTGCTGTTGGTGGGAGAGTAGTCGCTAGTCGCATGCGCACTGAGTGGGTTGGCAGTTGCCGCTATCCTTTCTTAAAGTTACATATTTTTTTATAAGACGTTTACTTTATAGCACCTTTTCAAAGATTGCAGACTGCTCGAGTCGTCTGGGGGGGGTAATAAGCTCCCCCCCCCCCCCGTGGGAGCGCTTGTGTAGAGCCGCACTCAAATTCAATTTCTAAGTACGCCACTGGACACCTCGAAGGTCTTCTTTCTCCTTCGTGCGTGTCAATGTCAGGGTTCGTTGTCACGCCAAGTAAATATTGTACCTTATTCGGCATGGACCAGGCTGACTAATATAATTAACACATTTTTTTGTTCTGAAACGTTCCCATGACATTAACAAACACTTCGGAAGGAATTTGCATAATACATATTTACATCACCATGCTTTTGATTCGCACGGAGTTTATGAGGATCCTTGGGGTTCCTTAGATGATTTTCACGAGCAATGTATGTGAATACTATACGAAAGTAGAGTTAGTCATAGTGCTCCAGTAATAATACAAAGGCACTGTGATATTTCTGAGATTCAGAGCTCACAAAAAGTAATACACACCTTACATAAACAGTTCTCACTCTCCTGTCTCCAGTTCTTTCGCGTCTAGCACCAGTTCTTTCGCGTTTGCGCCAGTTCTTTCGTGTCTCTTCCGGATATCTTACGAATCCGGCACCTTCACAGATAACTGAAAAACTGGAAATTTGCTCCTGTCCAACCGAACCCAAAAAAAAATAATCTAAAAGCGACCGATCCACAGGGGACCTCCTAGCTTAGGTCACGCAATTGTGGAGTAAACTCATCCAGTCTTATAGTGAGGCTCATTTCGTTTCTCTTGATATCACGAAATCGTTCGATCAGCTGCGGTACTCTGCCCTCTTTTGCAAACTTCCATCCTATGCCCTCCCAGAGACGCTTTGCAGATGGGTGGCTAACTTTCTCACTGGCGGTAAGATGTCCGTCCTAATTGACGGGTTCTCCTCTTCATCCCAGCAAAGGTGAATCCCAGGGATCGGTATTGGCTCCGACACTGTTCTTAATATCAACGACCTCCTTTCCTGTACGATCACCCCAATGCACGACTTTGCGGATGACAGTACTCTACATGCAGGAATGTTTCATCCAGTTTCGATGGATGGCTGCGTTCTGCCAAACAGCTGTTCATTTCGGCGGGCCGTAGTCCGGATCACCGAGGATTTGATCTGGCACGACCACATCTCGTCAATAGCGACAGCTGCTGTGAATAGGCCAGGCTATTTGTTTAGGGCTAAGAAGTACTTTTCTCCGCATGATCTCCTCACTCTATACATGGCCCTGATAAAATCTAGCCTCGAATTTTGCGCACACGTTTGAGGTTTTGCCGCCCTGACATTATTTATGCTGGATACTGTTAAGAGCTCTCCTCCATGATACCGCCGCACGTTGTGCCTGCCAAACAGACCCGCCTGACTTCGGCCTCCCATCCTAACCGTGTCGAAGTTCGTACATCCAGAACTGGCCGATACGACCACTCCTTTGTCCAGAGGGAACAATCTACAAAGGGAAGTTTTCCCAGTTCTACTAACCTTTGGAGGTTCAAAAATCGGATTAACAAAAAAGCCCGTAGGCAGAAGCCTGGCTTTAGGCTTCTGCCTACGGGGCTGCTTCTGTATTGAAACAACTCAAAATTCACGAGTTCTGTAAGGTGATTAATATGAAGTTGAAAATTAATTCAATAGAAATATTTTGTTGAACTGACAAATCTGCTTCATCCTGATGAAACCACCACCACATTGGAAATAAGCAAATGAAGAAATTCTGAGCTCCATCAAAACAATAGTTCCATACAGGTAGTCGTCATTTTATGAAATGAAAACTTTATTCAGTTACTGAATCGGTCATTTCATAAACCACTCAAGTCCATTTTCTCCAACCTGGGGGAGGACTGGGGGAGAGTGAGTTTCCCCAGAAAAGATGCAGGGAATTAACTAATAGAAGCCCCCCCTCCAAAGAAAAAATCTCTCAGGATCCTTGATTTGTTTTATTATCAAGACATTCTGCATGTAGCAAGTTTGGAAATTGAGAGAACTCGCGCTAACTGATATATTGATTCAAAGTTTTAATTTGCCAAGAAACGCCGGAATTACGCCCTTTGTTTTTATCAAATTTATGCAACTGCAAGTTAATTTCATTAAATATTTAAAACAACTCATTTGCTCCTTTCTTTCAAGAATTCCAGAAACAACTGAGCAACGTTTGTTTCCGAAATACTTATTTATAGTTGAGATGATTCAAACAAAATCCATGCAAGATTAGAAGCACAGCATAGCACAAGTCTTGTTTGGGCGCTTTCCACATCTATATGACTGTATATCGAATATACGAGTATACGAGTACACATTTTTACGAGGCCCAGTCGCTGGCCTGCAGTAATAGATAAAGCCAACTCCTTTTTTTTCCTTACCATCGAAACAAGGTAAATTTTCGTAAACTTTCACTTATAACTTGGATATAGTACGGTGCACTTAGACCTAAACCTCAACATCCAAAGTAAAAGTTTCCCACAGTTCCACATTGCTCTATACGGTCCACATATTGTTCGGTAAAAACCACTTGGAGTGTCTGTTTTGGGGGGGGAGGGGGGTAGAAGTTGGTAAAAAAGTACTTATCAGTTTTTCTTGAATATTTCGAAAACTATACGGTTTCGCGCAAAAAGTGGTGTATACAAGAATAATCCACATTAAATTGCGACCAAAAATGATAATTTGCATAATCTTGCTAAAGTGAACGGTTCCAGAGTTATAAAAGATGAGAAATTAGATATTTCACATACCTAGATTTTTTGGAAAAATAACGCTAAGGAAACCAATTTTTTTTATGCAAGATTGGGTTTTGTAAAAGCGAATGGTGATTTTAGTGGCCGGTTGTATGTTAGTGATAAGCCCTTGAAGGAAAGACAACCTCACCACTTTCTCAAGGGGCGCTACTTTTTAAGGAAAAAGAGGCTTCCATAGGCCTAGGCCATATAAACCTGTGGTGCGGAGAAACCCACTCTGAACTTTCTCTGGACAATGCCGCATTAAGAATGAACTATTATATTTGTGTAATAATTCTGATATATAATTACATCTTTTTTAATCATATTTTTTTCTTAAACTGCAGCTTGTGGATGTTTTTCTGAAAGTAGGCATATGAGTAGTTATATTTGATTGTATATTGCACCTATATTTCTATATATTTATTATAAATGCGACCTTAAATTACTGTAAAGTATTCAGTCCTCGTCAAACATAGCACCTTCTTCCTCTTCTATATCTTCTTCTATGCTCGTGTCTCTGTTATTACATCCTAGGCCTAAGCAATTACTGCACATGCTTGAGCAGTTTCGACTACTCTTTCTGCATTCGCAAATACGGACGCATTCGTCTTTGCAAGCGCACACTATGAGAGAAAGTAACTCCTAGGGAGCCTCAGGACGTGCTGTTGTAATTGGTGTCAGGTGTTCGCCAATCTTTTTCCACCCCCACTCGAGCGGATTCTTGTTCTCATTCACTTGGTGGTAGGTTCTAAATGCATGCTGCCTGGAAGCTGCTGAGGTGGGAGGAAGTGCAGCCAACTTGAACAACGAATGTATGGGCTGCTTTGCAACAGCCTGCAAGTAACACAGGTAGCGAAAAGAGTCTAGATTTTCAGTGTTCTTGGCTCCAAACATCGCAAGAAGGAAATGCTTTCCAGCGTCAGCCACTGCATTGGGG